AATATATAAATATATGAAAAAATAAATAAAATAATAGAGACAGAAAGATAGACAAACAAATAAAACGAAGAGACAGAAAGAGAAAAAACAAACAAAATAAATAAACAAATAAATAGATAAAATAAAATAAAATAAAATAGAACAAAACAAAACAAAATAAAACAAAACACAATAAAAAAAAACAAAATAAAATAAAAAAAAACAAAAAAAACAAAATAAAACAAAACAAAATAAAATAAAATAAAATAAAAAAGTACCTTGGGTGTGCTCCCCAGATACGAATGAGTGCTGCTGCTGCTGCTGCTTCTCGCTGCTGCAGCAGCTGCAGCGGCAGCTGCTGCAGCAGCTGCAGCACGAGCCCAGTGCGGCAGACAGCAGGAAGGTTGGGGGTCCCCCCCTCTTCTCTGTCTTCGTTTCTATCCATCATATACACTGCATGCAGTGAACCAATGGCCTCCTCTTGCTGCTGCTGCTGCTGCTGCTGCTGCTGCTGCTGCTGCTGCACTTGCTGCTGCTGCTGCTGCTGCTGCTGTTGCTGTTGAGCAGATTCAGCCGCTTCCTGCTGCTGCTCGTGCTGCTTATCCTCATCATCCTCCTGCTGCTTCTCTCGCTCCAACTCCTCCTGCTGCTGCTCCTGCTGCTGCTGCTGCTGCTGCTGCTGCTGCTGCTGCTGCTGCTGCTGCTTGTGAGACCATTTTGCGTTAACAATATAAACAGAACCTCCAGCGGGGTGGGCGGGCAAATCAGACAGCAGCAAACGCTTCTTCACCAGCAGCAAACCTGCAGCAGCAGCAGCAGCAGCAGCAGCAGCAGCAACAGCATAGTAGCAGCAGCAGCAGCAGCAACAGCACTAGCAACAGCAGGTACAGCAGCAGCAGCAGCTGTAGCAACAGCAACAGCAACAAAAGCAGCAGCAGCAACGGCAGCAACAGCAACAGCAGCAGCAGCAATAGCAGCAGCAACAGCAACAGCAGCAGCAGCAGCAGCAGCAGCAGCAGCAGCAGCAGCAGCAGGTGTTGTACCTGCTGATCCAGTGCCCCCGGGAAGTTTATGGGGGGAGAAGAAGACAGCGTCAGGAGCAGCAGCAGCACTTGCTGCTGTTGTTGCTGCTGCAGCAGGAGTGCATGCACCTGCTGCAGCAGCAGCAGAAGGACAAAGCCAAGGATGTGTATACCACAAACGCGGCGTCTCCTCCTCCTCCTGCTGCTGCTGTTGCTGCTGCTGCTGCTGCTGCTGCAGCAAGTGCTGCAGCGGGTTAAAGTCTATCGGAACGTGTGCTGCTGCTGCTGCAGCATCAACAGCAACAAGGCCCCCATGTGCATGCACTAGTTTACATACAGCAGCAAGAGTAGAAGCAAACACATCAGCATCTCTGCTGCTGCTGCTGCTGCTGCTGCTGCTGCTGCTGCTGCTGCTGGCTAGGAGGGTCCCCGTGACGTTCCCTGCTGCTGAAAGGAGACAGACGGGGACGAAGCAAACCTTCTGCTGCTGCTGCAGCAGCCCGAGAGAAGCAAAGTAGCAGCGAAAACCACTATAGCAGCAACCAGGACCCTTGCTGCTGCTGCTGCTGTTGCTGCTGCTGCTGCTGCTGCTGCTGCAGGCCTCGCAGCAGGTGCCCTCGTATTCATCCAACCCTTGTCCCTCCTCCTGCTGCTGCTGTTGCTGCTCCTGCTGCTGCTGCTGCTGCTGCTGCTGCTGCTGCTGATTGAAACGGCTGCAGCAGCAAGACATGCGCCGCAGCAGCCGCCGGAGAGCAGAGAGGCAGAGGCCCCCTGTTGCTGTATCTAGCGACAGCAGATGAAAAGAATATGAAACACCTGCTGCTGCTGCTGCTGCTGCTGCTGCTGCTGCTGGTGCTGGTGCTGCTGCTGCTGCTGCTGCTGCTGCACCTCCTGCTGCAGCAGCTGATGTCAGTCTGTCTTGGGGCCAGCAGTATGCACCTGCATGCGCTGCTGCTGCTGCTGCTGCTGCTGCACCAGCTTGAGTGTTCATACTGCTGCAGTACCCCCTGCTGCTGCAGCTGCTGCTGCTGCTGCTGCTGCTGCTGCTGCTGCTGCTGCTGTGTATTCGTGTCTGTACAGCTGAAAAAGGAAGCAGCAAGGAGTGGTGGCCGGTGGGGTCGCAAAGAAACATGACATGCACATGCGGTTGCTGCTGCTGCTGCTGCTGCTGCTGTTGCTGCTGCTGCTGCTGCTGCTGCTGCTCAGCAGCAGCAGCAGCAGCCTCTAGGTCTGCTGCTGCATGCTGATACAGATGCCGCCGCGCATGCAACGAAGTTTTTAATCTGCTGCTGCAGCGGCGGCAGCAAAAGGAGCCCCATCTATCCTCCTCAAAAACTTCTGTGAATGCCTGAAGGTAACTCTTGCTGCTGCTGCTGCTGCTGCTGCTGCTGCTGCTGCTGCTGCTGCTGCTGCTGCTGCTGCTGCTG